GAGAAAGACCTGGGGATGTTGGTCAACAGTCGGCTGAACATGATCCGTCTGTGTGCCCAGGTAGCCAAGAAGGCCAATGGCATCCTGGCTTGTATCAGGCACAGTGTGGCCAGCAGGACCAGGGCAGTGATTGTCCCCCTGTACTGGGCACTGGTGAGGCCGCACCTCGAGTGCCGTGTTCAGTTTTGGGCCCCTCACCACAAGAAAGCCCTTGAGGTGCTGGAGCAAGTCCAGAGAAGGGCAACTAAGGTGGTGAAGGGTCTGGAGCACAAGTCTGATGGGGAGCGGCTGAGGGAGCTCGGGGTGTTTGGTCTGGAGAAGAGGAGGCTGAGGGGAGACCTGATCACTCTCTACAACGACCTGAAAGGAGGGGGTAGCCAGGTGGGGGTCAGTCTCTTCTCCCAAGTAATGAGGGATAGGATGAGAGGAAATGGCCTCAAGTTGCACCAGGGGAGGTTTAGGTTGGATATTAGGAAGAATTTCTTCGTCAAAAGGGTTGTCAGGCACTGGAAGAGGCTGCCCAGGGAAGTGGTGGAGTCACCATCCCTGGAGGTATTTAAAAGACATGTAGGTGTGGTGCTTAGGGACATGGTTTAGTGGTGGACTTGGTCATGCTAGGTTTATGGTTGGACTTGATGATCTTAAAGGTTCTTTCAACTTAAACAATTCTACGATTCTATGATTTTAATTCATCTTTCATAGGGAAGGTAATGCTACTTTTACAGGCAAACTGCTACAGAAGCATCAGGAGCAGTTGTGTATCTGGACACTGTTTTTCCTACCTCTAAGCCAAAGAAAGCCTGCACGCTGTTTGTTCTATCCAGACAGTCCAAGCAGTTTGTTCTGACAGTGCCACTTTGAGATCTGTGCCAAGGACAATGAGAGACAGAGAGAGAAAACAACTGAAATAACTCATTTAACATACATATCATCAACAAAGACAGGGACATCAAGATCTGAACCAGAATAGTAAATCATGGTGTTGTCAGTGCAATGTTACTGTCATCGCAAGTACGTTTATAAATGCATCAGCAACAGAGGGTTAGCTCCAGTAACAGCAGTGAATTTTGCAGCAGTGTTCACGATACAAAACTAATTTATTTTCTGCAAATAATAAGAGTCTTTCTTCTTCAGCTTTTCTCAATTCTCCTTGTTCGCTTAGTTAAAGTGTAACGTAGGATTAAGTTTTCTTTTCAAACAATCCAACTAACACACTTCCCAAGGATCTCAGAGGGAAATAATAACTCTTAGTTAAAACAAAAATGAAAAAAAAAAAATATTAAGACAGTTCTTGGATTTGTTTAACTAAACTAAGAGTAACAAGAATTTGTGATAATACTAAAGCCAATTTCAACCCCTCATTACTTTCTCTTTCCTCGCCAAATAAAAATTAAAAATAAGCCTCTCCATTTCAGCTTGACAGATGCTTGAGGCCTGCAGGCACTCTGAACTGCTCCCATTTCTTTGAGAGAAGCCCATTAACTTGTGCTGTAAAGCCCTCAGAAGGATCATATTAGGCAATATCCATGTTCTTCTTGCCTGGCTATGAGTACAAAATTCTGATGGCTCTCCCAATGATACAAATTTACTCCTTACTTTTGTCATTCTCACTATACACTTTATCCAATTAAGTCAGTACGGCTTCGTCACATTTACTTGGAGATCTAACCATACATTGTAGAAAGTTTTGAAGAACTTTCTGCAAAATTATTTTTTTCATTACTATCTCTGCATTTCATTTGAAATACAAAGCAACCTGCTATCTGTGTTAGAAAGAAACCTGACATTCTCCAAAGGAGATAGTCCACAAACTTACAAAAATCGTCGCTGTATTTTTTATTAACACAATTCTTCAAGCTATCACAAACCACAGCCTATTTTGCTTTTGTTCTGTTGACAGTCCTTTTGATGGGTGATAGTATTATTTGTATCTCCATCAAGATCAAATGGTGTTCTCCCAACACAAAGTGTCATACCACTTTTGAAGTCTTTTCAAGAATGACCAGTGACGTTTTGAGGTGGAGGTGGGAGCTAAGCACCCTCCCACTAAATTTAATCTTATTCAGGCCTACTAAAACCTGCCCCTTGGGGATTTAATCCCACAACCAGGTTAGAGCACAGCGTGGCACTGGAACCCTGCCTCTTCTCCTCTCTCACTGCACTAGAAGATGAAACCCCACTGCACGTGGCACAATCCCCTCACTCAACAATGCTCCTTCTCATGGAGAACCTCACGCAGCAGTTTGTTCTGGTATTAATTAAAAGGAGGAAGGATGCGGAAGGGAGAAGAGCAGGAACATTGCCTATTACTAGCCCTGCTTCTTTTTTTTGTACTGCCTTTGCTCTAGGAAGAGGGGTGGGGAAATAGGGACAGAAGTACAAGTACAGCAGGACTGGGAAGCACAGAGCAGGGCAGAAAATACGCGCCCCATTCATACTTTGTGGAGAATTGAATCTCACAAATTGGGGATCCAGATGCAAACAGATTTAGAAAAAGATTGCACTGAACCTCAGCATTTAAAACAAACAAAAAATGGTATGCTCCATCGCTGAGGAAAATATCAATAACTTTATAGAGAAAGATGGAAAAATATTCATTCTTTAATCGCATGTGGGTGCACCCAAGAAAAAGGACAATTGCCCATTTTCACCAAAATCATGAGGTCAAAGGCCTGAAATTAAGTCATGCCCCATCAGTGTCTCAGAGATATTTTCCATTAAGATTTTTAGAGCATATTCAGAATGAAATGAAATTTTAATAGAGTAAAATAAGTGACTGATATTTCAGTTGTTGAGCATCATCTTGGCTACAATAAAAACACAGTAACAGAAGTAACATTTTTCCTCTTATCTTCTTACTAAGGGGTGAAAAGTATCCATAATGTAATTTAAAGAAATTTACAGAAGTTATACACACAAACCTTTTAACTTCCTTTCCATCAAAATAAAAAAATCCACACTCTAAGAACTTCTGGACTTGAGGTTTAAGTACACTGTGTAGTTTTTCTGCCTTTCCACCTTTAACCATTTGATGATAGTCGAAGTTCACCATTTTGATATCAGCTGAATGTTCAGATGCTTTCAAATGGCTCTGACATAGTAAAAAGAGAAGAAGAAAGTATAAACATAGCAATATCTAAACACAGAGTAGTATAAACTAAATAAGAGGTTACAGATACTTTTAAAGCTGTTTTATTAGCTATCTGGTTTATTACATGATTTCTCCTAGGTAAAATGAAACCATTTTTATCACTATTGTTCAACAAATCACTCGGAACCGATTAATATTTCGTGGGGTTTTTTTGGGGTTTTTTTTTGGTCACAATCAAAGTAATTTTTTTCCTTACTATACTGTCACCAAGACAGCCTACAGCCTCTTCCACTGTTAAAATGCTTTGATTTGCAATGAGTTGTTTCAGTGGAAACTCCTTTCACTAGCAGCCACCATTTTAGACATACCTGCCAGCAACAGGGACTGAGTAAACACTCCATAAACTGCTACTGAAAAAAACAGACAAATTATTTAGGTTGCTGTGGAGGGTGGCTTGAGCAAAACTTTCCCTAATATTCCCTGACAAATCTTGAAGTGCTCACACAATCTTTGTTGGCAAAGCTATGATCTGCATTGGGCACCGATATGCATCTGGGAGCACTAATGTCTCCTACTAGGATAGCCGGATACAGAAAAGATACTAGTGAACAGCCTAAAATACTCAACCATTATAATACAAAGGAAAAAGGGAAAGGGAAATAACAGATGGCTATTGACATGTTCTCTGGCTTCAGACAGAATTTCTCAAATTGTCAGTATTTACAGACTACAATTTGACAGCTATTTTTAACGTAACTAGCAGGAATTCATGAAAATGGCTACTTACAGTTAACACCTTCTCAACAAACATTTCTATTTAATCATGAAGTAGTTTTTAATGTTTAAATTGATAAATTAGTGATTTTTTTTTAAACATTAAGGAATATATCCAGGAATTCCAAGGGAAAGATTTTTTAAAAGAAATATCACAGTATTAAATACCGCAAAGTATCATTTATTTATTCACCAATTTTACAGTGAAAAAATCTTATTTTTTAAATAAGCCACTAATAAGCATGAAATGTGAAAATAACTGAAAATCCCTCAACATTGTCTATGTTGCTGTTATAATTTTTCAGTCAAGTAACCAATCTGAACATAATCAAACACTAATTGTATACAGAGCTTTTAAAAATTCATTTCATGTTATGTATCTTAAGCAGTGCTTTTATGATAAATACAATTTTAGCCACAAGTGGTAGTTGCTCCAGAGCATAGCATACTTGTTTCATTTTTTGAAGGCTATATAAAAGCTTCATTGCAAACAAGCAAATTCCAAGGATAAGCACAGTGACAGAATTGTCACACTCACCTGAAAAGCTTTGCTGAGCATGTGCTCCCCTTCTTTTGCCCCAAGTAAATTTACAATAATTTGTTTGCCATATAAATTTTTAAGAGTTTGGAAATGCCTGTTAACAGAAGAAAAATTCCACACTCATCTTCTGACATGCAGAAAATTAACACGAACACCTGCAACACTAACTGAAATGCTGCAAGCCTTTTATTATGTCATGTCCAAACAAATCAGTATAACTCAAGAACAGCATACAACCATTGACTGCTGTTTAGTTAGGATAATAGCACCAATTTAACAACATACATTTAGTTAAAACCATAAGGTTGTGAAGTTGAAGTGTTGTGGCAGCAATAAAATCAAACATAAATTTTATTTTTATACAGCAGCTGACAAATATAGATTATTCAATGTAGCATGCTATAATTTCTGTTTTCAATTTACAAAGTATTTCACTATTTTAAATTTGCTTCAAACTTTTCAACAAAGCACTCAAAGGCACAAGCAATCCTGTAGAAGTTTGAAAAGGCTGCTTAGGCAGTTCACTGCTTTGCTGACTCACACTGGTACAGACAAAGCCTTCCGTTTGGAATAACATATCCGACCTCTCTGATGCATCACTTATCAGAGGTTTGTAGTGCATTAACAAAAATTTAAGACATTTCACCTGTCAAAAGCTGGTGCATTTGCCTCAAAACCCCTTGACATTCTGACACGATGGGATCCCACCTATGACATGAAGATTACGTTAAATTATTTGTCTTTACACATTTGATTAGTAGTTCTTCAAAGACCTCTTTTGGTCCTAAATATGGCCTAAAACTTCATTTCACTTTCTAAATTAAATCTCCAAAATTTATTCTGCTTGCTATGGTGTGCATTCTTTTTATAGGCTTTTCTTAAATTCCTCTTCTTTTTTTCTAAAAACCATTTTTTTTTATTTAATATTCTTAGTCATATCATCTAATTACTTTTCATTTGGAGGAAAAAGCATGTTAAATGTTTCAGCAGTTCTATTGCAAAATGCTTATATGCCTAGTTTAAAGAACCTACAGTCACTGTGAGGCATGACCTTTTTTTAATCCTCCCTGTAAAAACTGTATCAGAGTAGTAGCTGCTGATACAATCCCTCTTTCAAGAAAACTGAGATGAAATTATGTTACAGTAACTCTTGATCCATATTGACTTCTTGAAAAGACTTATCCTTAAGAACAAATCAGAAGAAAACAATCTCTTTGGGTGTCCTCAGATAATCTATTTTAAAATAGCAATTTAAATTAAAACAGAAAAACTCAGAACTTCAAAGAGAAAACATCTAAAAAGCCATGGACATTCAAGTCTTGTGCAAAACAGCATTCAGAGACTCCAGAGCAGCAGGTTTAGTGAATTAAACAACAGCACCAACTTGCTCCCAAAGGATAACCTCATCCTGATAGGTAACTGTGCAGAAAAGCCTAAATGCTACTGCAAGATGTTTAAAAAGACATGAATAAGAATTATCTGTATAATTAAATCTATCTCCTGCTTACCTGCAGGCCTGGCTGTTCCCAAAATAATGGAACAGACCCTCGAATCTGTATGAAAGATGACACAGAGTCATCTAAAAATATCACCTGTTTAAAAAAAAAAGCATAGTATTACTAGGTATTACAGTGTGTATGGTTTTAGTTTTCTCAGCCTTAGCTAAACATAGAGCAAATAAAATATATTTACACATTACCTATTCCACACTACAAGCTAAAATATTACTTGTGTTCCCTAGGCTTCTCTCTCTATCCCCTCTGAACAGTTCATAAAAGAAGTTGCGGCACTCTCATGTTTCCTTGCAGAATCATGATTCATAACATCTAAGAAAATACAGCAAGCTTTTATTATTTGGGCCTGAATGACTTCTGTGCTAAGAGCAACTTGTTTTAAAAAACTTGGTAGGACCTTCCTGTAGGAACAGTTAAAATGTACACCAATGCACAGAAAATAATAATGCAGCCTACTCAGAACAGCTGCACAGATTTTGTGCATTAGAATCCAAAATACAATGGTCTATTAAGTACACAGTAAAGGAAACTTTGAGTGGAATGATATGCCACAGTCATCTAGGGACATTAGCCCGCCAGGAAACTTGGACAGAGAAACTGTAACAACAGTGTTCTGACTAAACTCCTGAAACTGGATGTGTACAAGCAGAGCCCTTCCCGAATGAAATTGTACTGAAGTCACCTAGGCTTTGCAGAGTCAGTGAGTCAACCAAAGATACCTACTCACATGAATACAGTTGCAGGAACAACATCTTGGTAACTAGGTTATCATAAGAAGAGAGCAAAGAAAGGCCAGCAAAGAATGATTTAATAGCTTCTTGTATTTCTGTGTAATAAGTGCAAAGATACGCAACCAAATGCAGCGGAAGTGCAGTGGCTTTAAAAACTACCTTTCCGAGAAGCTGTGTTAAGTAACCATAGAATCATATCATAGAACACAGAATGGTTTGCGTTGGAAGGGACCTCAAAGCCCATCCAGTTCCAACCTCCCTGACATGGGCAGGGACACCTTCCACCAGAGCAGGTTGCTCAAAGCCCCATCCAACCTGGCCTTGAGCACTCCCAGGGATGGGACATCCACAGCTTCTCTGGGCAACCTCTGCCACTGCCTCACCACCCTCACCAGGAAGAATTTCTTCCTTATATGTAATCTAAATCTATCCTCTTCCAGTTTAAAATAGGAATGCTTTTATCTCTCCTGAATCTTTACCATGTATTTGCCAAAAATCTTTTCTGCTTGTTTCTAAGGTCTTTTATGTTACTGTTAGCTCAGCCCAAAAGAAGTACACACTTACCTACAGCGCTCAGGAGGCTAAAAGGAAGTACAGCCACCTACAAAGTTCAGCTGACGGATAACAGCTTCTTAAGCTATTCAAACTCAGACCCATGCATGCCCTTACCCTAAGCTACACTAAAAACTAAGATCATCAAATTATGTAACTTACTTAGATTCCTTATTTAGCAGCCAAGGGACTATTCCAATATCTGTTGGTTACAGACTTGACTTGTGATCTGTTGATTTAGGGCTAAAAACTATACACACACATGCTTATCTTGAGTTCATCAGCCAAGCAACGTGCACGGTAGTGTAAGGTACCTGCTCTGTTTCAACAAAATTAGCAACATGACCATCATCGTTTGTTCCCCGGACGTTAAATCTGGTGCCAGCCCGTTCACAGCTTAGTCGTGAAATGAGACAAGCTTTTGCCTGCTTGTGAGCTGCATAAATTGTCCTTATCTCCACTCCTCCACACATGAGACGTAACAACCAGTCATCACAGTTCACACCATAGTGCTTCAGATGCAAATGCAGCGACTGGTTCCTGGGGGTGGGGGGGGAAGAAGGAGGGGAAAAAAAAAAAAAAGTAACTGGAAGGAAATAAAATACAGCTCAAATTGTTAAGCCAGCTACTAACTTCTAATATTTTACACCCACTGCTATAAGGAAAATACACATTATAGTTTTATGAGATAACTCTTATTTAAACACGCCTGAAACAGCAAAGTTTATGAGACAACAGCTTAAATGTTTGCACAATAAGAATATGGGGTGATGCCATGAAATTTAATGACTTTAAAAAAAATAACCCCTATAGTCTCTGCTCTTCACCCTGCAAAAAAAAAAAACCACTCCAAACTTGCTTATATTTCTCCACTAAACCTTGCTTTGAGAAGCCAAAGATTACACACTCTGGGAAACGCATGCCAGAATTCCAGTTACAGGGTTACTTTTTGTGATGGGTAAAGCAACATTCAATTTCAGACCACCACAAAATAAAGCTAGAAAAAAATTCTTGTCAACATACATTGATCATTTCTATTACATGTCAACATAATGCATCACTTGCCCAGACAAGCTTCCAGGAATACATTCATAGCCAACTGACTTTCAAATTTCTGTAAATATCAATTTCATGGTTAAGTGTTGGTACATTATACACTGCATATACCATTGTCTAATACCAATTACCGCTCAAATGAAAGATCCACAGTTTGGATATATCAGCTCATTAAGTAGTACTAATCAACACTATAGTAAGTAAATAAGACTAAAGTTTGGACTTTGTGAGGTTTTTTTGTTTTACCTCACTCTAGTAGGGCTTGGCTTTTGATCTTCTTCAGAAACATTCACTTGTATAAAAAGGAAGTAAAGTTTTCTGCATAGAAAAGTAAACTCCAGCAAGACAGATGGTTTTGTCATCATCCAGAAAATTCTACCATAATTGTAAGTAACATATCTGGTATAAAGGTCAAAGTTACTCACTTTAATTTTAGCCTTTTCATTCTAAACTTCCAATTTAAAAAAAAAAAATAATAATTCTGCAACTTATCAAACACCTCAGGTCAACCATTAATGAAGATGCAAATCCTGTCAATCAAGTATGCATTCACTTTACAGAAAAGTATACAGATGCGTTACAATAGCAGACTGAGAAAGCAAACAACATTCTTTCCCTGGGCAATCTGAGACTGGAACTTTGGAATAGAAAAAGCCCGATAAAGTTTACTGAACTGCATAAGCAGAATACTTTCCATTATTGACTTGTAGCATTTACATTTCTAGATCTTGCAAACTGAGACATTCTATCTACTTCCTGCAAGGATCGATTATTACCGGAAAAAAAAGGCAGGTAACTTAAGAAGTTTTACAACAGGGGTCAAAATCAGCCAAGCCTATCAAGACAAGGTCAACAGGCATCATCGTTTCTCAAGCCTTGAAATACGCACCTATCAACAGAGAGCTCAGTCTTTTTCCAGACGCAGAGAGAGACAAAGAGCTAGGTTCCTATAACTCCTGTAAGCCTACATCAAGGTAGATGTGTTTCTGAAGACTAGAGCTTATTTCTGTCTTAATACACATATTTTGTCCTATATAGCAATCTCGTCATATTCCTCTATCTGACCAAAACAGTGGCAAAGAGCAGAGTAGCACTCGCATATATGCCAGAGTTGGTTTGGTGTCTTGTATATTGGACAGAAGAGGGAGGAAGACATAGCTTTTCATCTGTTCTAACAGTATACTGCCAAGTCTTCAGGACTCTTCCAAGGTTCATGGACCCATACAGCATTTTTAACAAAGGTTGAAAATATGAGAGCAGAATTTCTTACATGACAGTATGCCTCACTGGCATTATTTAAGCTGCTTATTGGCAGAAACAGCAGTATTCCTTTTACCAAGAATTCTCTGCGTGAAAACCTACACTTTATTCAAAAATATTCTGTAAAAAGCTAGTGAGTTCAGCAGCCAAGCAATGTGCACTGTAGCATAGCCTACCTGCTCTGTTTCATCAAAATCAGCAACACAACAATCTGTGTAATAAAATTTTTAAAGCCCTTTCATATGTTGGAAACCGACTTGAAAACTATATATAAATACCACAGCATTTTAGAATCCAGAATGTTCAAAAGATTTACATTTTCTTTAAAGCTCTATTACCACACTCATTTTAAAAAACTGACACACTTGATGAAGAATTAAGAGACACTAAAGCTGAAATACAACATCACAACAACTCTTCAGATCAGAGTATAATATCAGAGCAGTGAAAAATCTGTGTCTTCCAATTAAGGAACTCCAAGTGGTTATGGAAACATTGTATCAATTAGTAGCACACTTACGTCCTTAGAGTTAAAACAATGCTATTCTATCTTACCAACATTGTGGGACAAAGGCATACATTTAAGAGCGGATAAAGACAAGATAAAAACTTGCCACATTAGTTTGTACAGGCATGCATTACTACATAATGTCTGATAAAGCGTATTATGAACTCACCAGAAAAACCTATTGTCAGTGGTGTGCTCCTGCATGCTGCGGTGAGCATTGAGACTAAGATCTAAACTGACACCAGTTGCAGACCATGCAAAATAAAAGTTTCCCGAGTTCAAAACTTTGCGCACTTCTGAAATACGTTCCTCATCTGTTGAATCAATTCGTAACGATACAAATTCAGTGGAAGTAACTCGAAAAACTTCAGAGTCTTGAATCTTGCCCACAGACATGCATCCTGTTACTAGAACCAGATAATGTAACAACGTGTCTCCTGTAAAACAAGAAAAGGCACAGGTAACAGAATGCATCTTAGTGGAGTGTGATGTTGATGTATCTACATGCTTAAACCGACACAATCTGACCCCAGTTTGCCTAAAAAAAGTACAGAAAGAACCGAGATCAAGAAATCATTCTCAAGTTCTACAGAAGAAGAGGAAACGCAAACAGGAGAAACTCTGCTGCAAATAACAGGGACTGTGAAAACAGAAGCTATTTTTGTCCACTCCCTCATTTCTGGGAGTGCTCCAAACTTGCGAGTTACTCTACAAAGACAAAAAAGAAGAAAAGAGCCCAGATCCTGTTGCAAAGATCCTATGCTGTGCGGTTTCACAGGAGCAGCACGATTTTCTTTCCCAAATGAAAATTTAATGTTTTATATATTTTACTTACCAAGGTTTAATCTTAATACACCCAAGAGCCCATATGCATCCATTACTTTGGAGTAGGTATTCTTGATTGTGTCTTTTTCTGCAGAAGCTGTGGAGAGAAAACAAGATTTTATGATGTAAAAGACCACACACTACGGCAGGGAGAATAAGTCCACTCTAAACTGAAAATCCAAGAGATTACAAAAGTAGCGCTTACATGAAACTTCTGGAAAGAAATCAAAATGTATGAGCATATGGCATTTTATAATGGAAAATAAGTATTTGATTTTATGACAAAGTACGATCATGCTATGTTTTTAGGCAACAAAAAACGAACTTGCAAAAACTCCAAGTGATATTAAAAGAGAACAGAGGCATTTTTAACATCATCACCTCCTAATATAAAAAGTATCTAAAACACAGGCAAATGAGTTCCATGAGAATGCTCTCCTGTAATTAGTTAAAATTAGAGTAGTGATAAATGCTGCTTTTTTTTCCATTAAAAAAATTATCCTTTTTATCCAAGAATAAAACTGTGACGTGGCAGAATTATTTCCAGACAAGTAAACGAGATTATCACAAGTGCATTTTAACTAGTTTTAGATATATTCCAAGCAAATCAAAACTCTTGTAGGTCCCCAAGATAACAGTATTTAAAAGCCATGTCCTAGATTAGGAAACACCATTTTCATAGACATTTGGGGGGGGGGGGGATTTTCATATTTTAGAAGAAATTAAAGTATATTTACCATTATTCACCTTGGAGTTAATGTTAGTGTACACTTTAGAATTTTAATCACCACTGGAAAAACCAGGCCTGCAAGCTTGGCTGCAGAGCCAGAGGACAGAGACGCTGCACGGCAGGAACCAGACCCCACCTGTCCTGAGTTTTAGTTCATGACGGACACTGCGCCTGAAGCACAAAGACCAAGAATTCCAGCTGTGCCACGGGATCCACGGGGATCCAGATTTCTGGGTCACCAAGGATCAGCACCTTCTCCCTCCTCAGAAATGATCTGCTAATTAATTTTCTACTTCGAGACTAAAAAACCAAATAATCAGAATTCAATATCAAGAAAAGTGTAAACCAAAACGCCTGTTGCCTTGGCATTCTGCTGTGCTCCCTCTCACATTAGCTGTATTTTCTTTAGAACTGCTGTTGTGAATCTTTCTAATGAGTATTCTCTAAGCTTAGCATAGCCCTGCCTGTGCACAAGCCTATCCCTTCTGTTCAAATGTCTGCCAGCTCTATTATTAAAGTGGATCAGAAACTCCAATATAGATGAAACAACTATTTAACCTCAGCCTGAAATCTAACCTCCCTCAATATTAAGTGCATTTTAAGGAAGCTTCTTTAACTGTTTGCATTGATACCCTGTATTCCTGTAATCCAGACGCTAAAGATAAGAGTTACAGCAGTGTGATTATTTCCAAAGTCCTCAACCATAATAAGTGTTAAGACTCACAGTCAATCTAAACACATTGTTTATGGACAGTGATTTTGTCAGCATCACCAAACCGTGTTTTTCTTAACCAGATCACTATCAGGCTGGGAAGAACAACTTCTAAACTTCAATTCATTTTTCCAGCAAGCATTTAACGATGTCAGCATACTCTTCTAAACTCAATTTCCGGTAACCAGAGAACTGCCACATTCTTCTTCAACATTTTAAATTATTAATGAAAGATGAGGTTTAGTTTCAAATTTTTTGCAGGACTTTTCTTAAAGGTGCCTGCCAGCATTTAATGACATTTCAGAACAATGGTTTTTCTGTCTTGTATGGATTTATTCTCTTTTCCCATTGCATAGAACACCCGTTATCCTTGCTAAGCCTTAATAAGTAAATGCCCGAGATAAATTAACATGGGCTTTGCACATTCAGATCAAAAAAGGCCACTGCTAATAAGGCAGCAAAGGGTTGCAAAACCAAACAGAAAATAGAAATAGAAAAAACTTACTGTGGCTAGTCAATTGTTATTTTCTTAATAAAGCACCCAGGCACCAAACAAAAGCACTTCATGCCATGTTTTTCAGTTACATTATACTAACACTGTGTGAACTCTGAGGAAAGCTTTTCCACAGTGAGCATGTAAGTATTTCCATCTTGCACTGCCTGCATTTTTCCCCATCTTTTTTTTCTTTAAAGACCAAAATTCACATGGGAAAACAGCAAACATCGCACACCTCAGAAGATTCACTGCATCCATCCTGCCCTGGCCCATCCTCACCTATCCCAGGTTTCAGCCATTGCCTCCGCAGGGTCCATGGCTAGGCGCAAGATATACTTAACACGTCCCGCAGCCGCGACGCAGAAAAGCTTACCTGCAACATGCTCCTATCACCCTCCCACAAGGCACATCACACCTACTACCAGTTACAACTTTATAACGTAAATTTGTAAGGTAGATTCCCCTTTGCTGAGGGCACCTGTTTGAATCTCTAGCCATCAGCATTCACAAACCTGAAAGAATTACGAGATTTGGTGATGACTGGTATTAGCCAACACAGAGGGATAAAAAATGGTTATCACATAATCCTCCCTTTTCTTAAGAAAGCGAGCTAAAAAGAAAGCACTCACAAAGATGGTACCGATGGCAGAAAAGCGAGCAACTCCCCAGCCCTGCACTGCTGCCTCTTCCCTACCGCCGCAGGGCCAACCCAGGCCACGCAGGGATGTTTTGGATGGTTGACTGCAGCAGTGCTCAGGCTGCTTTCAGGGTAATGCACAATAAGGGACTTCCCACGATCAGGAGTGGTACATCATTAAGGAAAGGCACTTGAGCTTTCTGAAAGCCAAGATGAAATCAGGAACAAGACACAGCTATACCACACTCCTCTCCATCTTCTTCCATTGGAACTGTTGGGACACCATGAGGACCAGCATCTCCCTGGGGGCCATGGGGGTTCCCCCAGGGAGGCAGGGCTGGCTGGGGGCGGCCCCAGCCCAGGACATCAGGTACCTGGGAACGGGCAAGGGCCAGGCCTGGTGAGGGAAGCCGGGGCCAGATACAGTCCAAGGATGGCCAGGTAGGCCATGGGGACAGGGACCAGCTGCAGCATCGCTGGGGCAGGGACTGACAACCCTGAGGGGACTGAAATGGGGTCCTGGGCTGGGGAAGCCCCAGGGGGGCTTGGCAGGGACACTAAGGGCTGGTGGTGTCCTCAGGGCCCTGACATGAACAAGCAGTAATGCTATGAAAACATGCAAATGGTTGTACAGCTGGTTCAGATCAAAAGTCCATTTAGTCTCCAAACGTTTACAAGAATTTCCTGAACCAGCACCTTCGCCAGTGCTAGCCACAAGAATGCCTTTCATTTATGGATGCTAAAAGAAAAACACCCAAACACCCAGGCCAAACTGTAATATACTACTGACTGCCACTGCACATGGCATTTCCTATTTCTGAAGATAATAAAATTAAATTTGCAGGTTTTTGTATCACTGAGTACCAAACTGTGTGAATAACTACACAAGTGCTCTGGAACCACACAGATTCTCCCCGTAAGTATCATATTTAACTCTTCCTTCTTCACCAAAGCAGTTGAGCTTCATGAAGATCTATGCTCTCTCACTTCATTCAGCATGCAAAGTCATCGGATACAGCTGGATATGCAAGAGCCACTGAAGTTACAAAAATACATGGCTAAGACTCCATCACTATAATATCTTATACTCAGTGAATGCAAACCCAACTTTCAGTTTCCTCTATGAATAGCTCAAATTACCAACTGGGTGAGCTGCAGCTTAGAAGTTAAACCACAGGAAGGCTAAGGTAGTCCTGACAGAAGGAGAGAGCATTTCCAGGAGCATTTCCTCATTTCCTCTGTAACATTCTTAATGAATGAGAACATCTCTTCCCAGAACGGTACGTTGGCCTGCAGCCATAAGAATCCTTTTGACTTTGATATAAGAGCTCTGTATCTTCAAAAAAAGGCAGCTAATATAAACATGCACTCAGTAAAACATGAAGTCCTACAAATTAATGAACCTACTTCTCCTTGAGAAATTGACTTTTTGATTTATACATCTTTAAATGGCTAGAAGCAAGCAAACACAATTAAGGCTGTTTGAAAAAAATATAAAACACTGTCACTTGCTAAGAAGAACAAATTAAGACAAGCAACTTCCAAAGACAGAAATTACCAGTTGGAATGACAACTTTCATCCATAACACTGGACTTAACAGGTTTTAAATTATACTGTATAAGAGCACTAAACGGTTGACAACGCAAGCATACATATGTCTGTGTACAAAGATGGACACAAAACACTACAAGGCAGTATTATTTCTTCTATTATTTTGTGTCAGTTCAGATGTTAAGCAGAAAGGAAATTAAAAGCAGCTTCTGCTTAACCCACTGCAGTAATTAGATTCAAGCTGATTAATTTCTGAAACAGAAATAATGACTCGCTATTTAGCAGTACAAAAAAAAAAACAAAACACAAACCACACAAAACCAAACAACCCCACAACACTTTTAATGTGGTCTTCAGGTCAAGTTGTAATGCATTCTTGTAGAAAGCTAGCAAGCCTCATTTGAGGTGTCAAAAGAAAAAGAATAAAAGAATTTTAAGTCAATCTTTATTAAAAATTAATAGGTCACAGTATTTTTAAATGTTAAAATCTCATTTGCTGCAGGTTAAATCACAAGTGTGTATCTGTAATAATCACACCTTATTAATCACTGACTCATTTAAGAAAGGTAACTGATTAAATTATTTTAAAGGGATTATATCAGCCCTCTTACTGTTATGCAAATGGAACCCCATTAAAAATCCTGCCTTCAGAACAACTTGGTTCAACATCTATTCTGCTTAATTCCAGATTAGAAATTAGTTTTGTAATTTTAACAATTAGCTTTGTAGCTAAAATCACATTAAAAGTTATCATTTAGGCTTTCTAGAGTTATGTTCTCTTCTTGGTGAGTTCACAAGGTGCCATGACAACACATTCTAAGTTAATGGCCACAATTCCCAGCTAGAACATGGGACACTGAGCTGGGAACAAAGACACACTCCTGAAATTATGTGCAGTTCCTTCAGAAACAAGACTTCTTATTTAAGTTAGACGAGAAAAGGCTCATGCTACTATCACTTTAAAAAGTTT